AACTGTGCCTTAGAGAGGGGAGAGAGACCGCTGAAATGCGATTTGTACACCAGTTTCGGCAGAAGATTTCCTTGTGTAGAGCAAGGTTATTTTCGTAAACGAAAACTGAAACTAAGACTAAAACTATTGGTCAAAAAACATTTTCGTAAACTGAAATAAAATACAAAATTCATAATAAATGAAAAACTAAAACGAAACGAAACTAACAACAGTTACTGAAAAACTAACTGAAATAAAATAATAATGAGAAAAAATAAATAATCGTTTTCGTAATTAATAAGCTCTTTACTTTGGCGGAAAATCTGACCTGGCTGTTTAGGGAAATGCCTGGCGCTTCACCCGTGTGAAGTTGCTGAGGCGATTAACCGCGTGTCGTGACGTGCTCAATGAAGGACCGTAACGTAGAACACATCGTAGAACACATCGGCTGTTCATAAAGGATGCGTTTGTGGCAGTGGAATGGGAAATAACACAAGGTAATGAGACGCAATTTGAACTTCTTTTAACTTGAGCGCAGCGTTTTTAGAATGCCGTTTGCAATGCGCGGGTGCAACAGCAAACAAGTCCGTCAAGCACAAAAAACCTTTAATGTACTTCTGTATGTTTGAGATATCATGTTTTCATTAAAGTTGACAATGTAGGGATTCTAGGAAATACCAGGACACGACACACCAACAAGCACGCGCATACACACACACACAGAGACAGTCTGGTCCACTATATTTGTGGGGACTCTCCATAGACGTAATGGTTTTTTTATACTGTACAAACAGTATATTCTGTCTCCTTACACTAACCCGACCCATCACACACACACTACACAGACCCCTAAACTTACCCATCTCACACACAACTTTCTCCATTTTTACATAAAAAAAAAACTCATTCTGTATGATTTATAAGCTTGTGTACCTATAGGTCCCAAAGTGACACGAGTCCCCATGCGTCTGTGTGCATTCAGGTTTAAGCAGAGGCGGACAGAGTACAGAGCTTTGTTACTTGAGTAAAAGTACAGATACCCCTTGCTAAATTTTACTCAAGTACAAGTAAAAGTACTACATTCAGATGTCTACTTAAGTAAAAGTACTAAAGTACTTGTTTTTAAAAGTACTTGAGTATCAAGAGTACAAGAGTAGATTTTCTAAATATTGCATTACTAATCTACTGCCACAGTGCTTACATTTATGCACAGAAACGTCCTACATGGAGTTATGAAAAATGTTAATGTTAATACCTTGGAGAATGTAAAAGGAATTGAAAGTAAAATCAAGTCATTTTCATCTTTTTACCATGTTGCTTTATTTAATTAAATTAAATTTTTGGGGGGTCCCATCTTTAAATGCGGGGACAACACACACACACAATCACACACACACACACACCACATGTAAGGGTGGCGCTGCCAATAAAGCACCTAAAAGCTGTCACAAAGAACCGGCAAAAGGAATGATTATGAATATGTAAAATATGGCAAGGACATATTTTAATTGTTTATTAATAAACACTTGTTAATAAACAAGTGTTTTCTTTGTCAGTGTCGGCTAGATGAAGTTGACGATGCTGACTCGCGATCTTCAGTAGTGAACGCGCCAGAGAGAAATGCACATTTCATACGGATTACATAAGCAGAGTGCAGTCTGTAGTCTGTTTTCTTTCGTTTTGAATTTTTCTGTTTAAAAGTAGACATGTCTGTGAGAGGCAAGTAGGCTACCTTATACACTGTGTTTCGGTTCATTTATGAGACGAGATCCAGTTCACGTGCCGGCACCTCCGTTTCTTATCTATCGTCTGCTATTTACTTCTTATTTATTAAACCCAGGCAATTGGTTGATGAAACATTGATTCAAATTAAGATACAATTAATGCAAAACAAAATTCAGGTTAAAGAAAGGTTTTGTGTTTTCTGTTTGATGTCTCTGTGAAAGTTTTAAAGCATTTTTTATGCCGCTTTCAGAGCGCTCACGTCCGTAACGGAGAACACGTCCATAACATTGTTTTTTCCTCATGAATGCAAACCCGAAAAATCAAATAAAACAAAATTAATATTTTATGTACTGTGGAGACTGAGCACCAACCCTTCTTCATTCGCTGGGTAGTAGCCTACTTTGGTTTGCGCAGTGTAATTCACATAATCAGTAAAAATATATTTTGCCTCCTAAAGTTTTTTTTTTAAGAAATAAGAAATCCCTCGTGGCTATGCCACTGCCACATTTGAACCTGACTGTGTTAAACACACCACATACTCAAGAACATCAAACCAAATGCTTGGCTTACATTAATGTGTAATATAAAATCTGACCATGGAGTTGACTTTGGCGGAAAACTGAAAGTGATTGCTGATAGGCTGTCTCAATCAGTGGCGCCTGCACAATCCAATCACGTTTGAGAGGGAAACAACAAATTGAGGGTTTCCGAGATTTTTCTTTACTTTTTTTTTTTTTTACTCAGGTACTCACGGTTATGGATAGAAATGTATTGGAGTAAAGAGTACAATATTTGCCTCTCAAATGTACTTGAGTAAAGTCATGAGTACTCCCCAAAAATGATACTCGAGTAAAGTACAGATCCCTCAAAATTGTACTTAAGTACTGTACTCAAGTAAATGTACTCCGTTACTGTCCGGCTCTGGGTTTAAGTCCCCACCAGGATATAAAGACATAGTGACAGTGCACACTCACACACTGCATAGATACTTATTATTTAATTACACTGGCTTCACAGCAGGTTGTGTTGGCTGTAGTCAATTAATTGAGCTGTTTTTTTGTTATGTTCCAGTGGCCACTCTGCTACATGTACAGCTGAAAAAAAGTAAACTATGTTTAACAAGATTTAATCTTTAATATGAATTAGTTTGTCTGAATTTTTCATTTTTTTTTTCTTGTCTACTTTTAAGTTATATTTATTTGGTGCTTTGTTCAATCTCAAACCATTATTTTATTTGTATTATTAAGATGTCTACTCTGCACAAGAGTTAACTGTAATCTGGGCAAACATTAAACTTTGCTGAAATTAATCGTCTCGCTTTGGTCTACACTGGAAGTGTTCTGTTAGCTCTGCTAAACTATAATTACTAAAACTAAAACTGAAACTAAATAAAATAAAAACTAAATAGAAATGTGTTTGCAAAATAAAAACTAAACTAAAACTAACAATACCATTAATGAAACTAACTAAAACTAAACTTAAATTTAAAGCAAAATTGAAAACGATATTAAATAAAAACTAATTTAAAAAAGCAAAACTATAATAACCTTGGTGTAGAGGTGAATGGAATGAGTGATGGTTGTAAACACATGCACTCAGCTCCGAAGAACAAATCTGAATGAGTGGCAATTCTCATTGGCCTTTTCTCAAAGTATCAGAGGTGTCTGGGGCTCCCTATTGCGACCCCTAGTGTCACTACATCAACACTTGTCGAAGTGAGTGACAAATAGGGAACTAGGGTCTCCCATACCCCCCTTTTACAACACACTGCTCGAGAAAGTGACAACATAAAAAAAAATAAAAAATCTGGAACACAGCATTTAATGTCTTATACATCTGGTCAAGCTACAGTATGACATATCCGTCTTCCAGCAGTTTACTTCAGTGTTCTGAAGCAGTTGCAGGTTTTCTTCAGGTATTCGACCTGAAGCATGCATTCTCAACCTGAAGCACATTATTGATGCATTTGCTGTAAATTACTTATTTAGTGACCAAAACAAAGCTACCTGGAAATGCACTTAGAGAATAGAGACAAATGCTGGCTCAAATGTTCAAAATGTACAGGCTGCCAGGACCACCGAGAGAAAGGGGGGTCATTGAACACTCTGGATATTTATACTGCTTTTTATATCAAATACCAGACCAGAGACAGTTCACTTTATGCTAATGACTAGGCACTTTGATCAGACTGAGTAACTCTTCAAAATACCTCTCAGAAGAGTTATGTTAAGTCTCTCATTTTAGTAGATGACAGAGAGGCAGACAGGGCTATATGATTCCATGACAGCATTGATATAGACTATAAATATGTAAATTGTTAAATTTAGTTTTTAGCAATGAACATGTTTGCTTGTTTATTCTAAGATGAATATGTCTTTGACTGATGTTAATACTGTAAATGCAGCATTAGGTATTTTGAAGTGACACTGAACACTTTGAAAAAAAGTCCCATGAAGCCATAGTTTACAGTAATTTTATAACAGCTAAGGGGGTTTTAGGTGCTCTGCTCTGTGTCGTGCCTAACAACACCTCCTAAAATCACTGTAAACACAAGTTCTTGGGGCTTATTGCTTTATTTAACAATTTAAGTGATACTTTTCAACCATATTAATCACATGAAATTAATATTCTATGTACCTAAAAGGATTCAAAAGGATTTGTAATTTGCTCATACATATAATTCTTATGTTTTAGATACAGTCAATGCATTAGATATATTTCAGTGTCTATGTAAACGAATGAAAATGTATAGTACTTGTCAAACGTTTGAAATAATTTGGAATAATTGAAATACAGTCTCTTATACTTACCAAGGCTGCATTTACAGTATTTGATTGAAAATACAGTATAAACAGCAATTTTGTGAAATATTATTACAATTTAAAATAACTGTTTTCTATTTTAATATATTTTGAAATGTAATGGCCTGTGATAGCAAAGTTGAATTTTCAGCAGCCATTACTCCAGTCTTCAGTGTCATATGAACTTTTTTCATCATTCTAAAATGCTGATTTGATGCTCAGCATTGTGAGCATAAGATATTGCTTTCAAAAACATGAAAAAAAATCTGGATTTCACATAAAATACCTATGATTACTAATGCTTATTAAATGAACGTCCTTATTACATTTTATACACTTCGTAACCATCATTGTTACCATAATTCTCACCATCATCGCCATCATCATCTCAATCATTGTGGCCATCAACAGAATCATTACTTCACATTCACCATCTACATTGATCTCTACAGTCACCTTCTCACCTCCCTCACCTAAAATATTTTGTTGTTTCAGTGTGGATATCTGAGCTGGTGGAACCTGTGGCCACATCCATAGTTGCAGACCCTCACCATAAAGCCAGTGATTCTAGCAGATACCCATCTGAGCAGGAAAACACAGCTCCACCCAGTAGACCTTCAGCTACAGCTGTGGACACACAACAAGAACGGCCAGACATTACAACTACTATCATATCGAAACCTACTACATTTACCAGCAATACTGTTACCACAACCAGCATCCCTTTTACGACAACCACAGATCAGATTAGCACTACCAAGTCATCGGCTGCTAAACGACACCCTAAAACACCTAGGACCACAATTAGAACAACAACTATTCTCCCAGAATCTCCAAAGACAACACCTAGATTCCCATCTGCTTCCACCTCAAAGAGTGCTAAATTGGACCCTTCAAAAAGCACTTTAGGTCCTCCAAGAGCTGCTGCTACTGAGGGCACACTTCTGGGATGTAACATCACGGACAAGATGTGGATAAAAACAGGTGTGATTGCTCAGAAGTCACTTAAAAATTTAAAACACTTTATTTACACTTTAATGACACTTTGTTCCAATGGACCACTTTAGACATTATACTAACCATTAGTAATTTTGCAACTACATCTAAACTAGCAGTCATTCAAATATTAGAAGACTTTCTGTTTAATATCTGCTAAAGCTTTATTTTCATGGTCCCCCAACAGACATTCTACTGACAATAAGTAAGTTTGCAAATATATGTCTGCTTATTCTACTTACCTGAACCCTAAAAGCTAACCCTAACCTAACAGTCAACTACAGTCAACTACAGTCTACTAATACTCAATACTTTTCTCAAATTATATTTATGGTTTGGTTCAAACCCTAAATTTTGATTTTATATTAATCAAAAATATTTATTTCCTAAAAGTGAAAATCATTCATACAAAAAGTTTTTTTTTCAGTGTATAGTCGAGACCAGTTCCTTCGGGTCAAGACCGAGACCAGAAGTCAAATCCTCGTCCATATACTCCCAAGTTCATGACAAGACCAAGCGATGAAAATATTGTCTTGGACTTGGATTGAGTCCGGTCCAGTACCACAACATTTAGTGTTATTTGCTACTGCTGCCGTCATTCATGCTTAACATATACCTTGAATAAATCTTCTGTACATGTAAAGTCCTACTCTCAGTTAATGAATAATAATGAATAATGAATACTATTTGATATCATAACAGTTCATGTAGGAGATTCTGAATTACAATGTCGTACTACTCGATAATACACTTGTAGAGCATATTTCCATGGTCTTGGTCTTATTATGGATTCGGGAACATTTGCTAGTCTCATCCATTTCCCTCTGTTCAATTGCCTTAGTTGATAAATACAATACAGTATATATCTTATTGATATTAATTTATGAAGAGTAACAATAGTTTAGTTTTGGCGAAAACTAAAGGCTACCATGGTAAATTTTTGACAAAGTTCCTTCCTGATTAAATGGTTTCTGTTGATTAGATTAGAAACATAAAATAAACGTACTTATATATACTATAACTCTTTATTTTTCTGTCTATGACAGTGTTGTCCGTACAGTTACGAAGGAGTCGTCTAGACAGTATTTTGAAGCAGAATCTCCCTCGAGGGTTTACTCAAGCTCTGAAGAAGGCCTTGAACGACAGCACGGTTCAGGCTAAGGTTTGCAATTCAAGAATATTTAACAAAATCAACATTTACAGTTTGTTCTGCATCCAATATGCACCAACATAAATGACATTCTGCTTTAAGCAATGTTTGCTGTCTTGCTATAACTTCCATCAGAACTAGCTACTGAATTGAACCATGCTAGATCAGGCTGATTTATGCTTGTTTACCATTGGTTGGTAAAACTGTTGAAATCATGATTTTTTCTAGTGAAGCTGTCCTTTCTTTGGGAAATCTGCACCCAAAGCAAAGCATATTCTCCATTATTTTGTCTTTGTATGTTTTTGTTGCCCATGTCTGCATCTTTTATTTTAATCAAGGAGATCTATAAAACCTTCTTAGATTGTGCATTAGAACTGTGCATTAGATTTTCCATTCTCATTAACAGTTGCTGGCACATGATAAAATACATGGTTATGTCTAAATAATGGTGTATTTATGGCATGCTAACTAGCCAAACATGACTGACCTTCTTTTAATTGAACCAGACAAAAAATAAAAATAAACTATTTGTTTTTATCTCTGTCACCTTTTGTTTTTGGATTAAGTATTTGAACTTTCTTTTTTGAAAACCTGCTCTCCTTGAAATATATAACAAAGAAGTGAAATATAAAACACATAAGTGAATAAAATAGGAACTTGATTTGCTAAAGGAATTAGGTAATACAGGTAACAAACCAAATTCGACCACAGAATCTGTGCTAAACTTTAATATGCACCGTAACTCCCGATCATACAGGCTGGTTCTGACTATAGGGTGTGGAGGATGTAGCAGAAAATTCAAAGTTATTAAGCAAATCAAAGAGTGAATTGCTCACCCACTGCTTTTACCCTTAGAAAAAATAAGTACACTTAAAGTTCAAGTATATTTTACTTTATGTAGTAAGTAAACTAATATCAATGTACTAGCCTACTTGTAAGTATACTGTTTCAATACTACTTGGGACTAAATTGGCCCATTTTTTAGTGTATAAAAGTATACTTGTTTAACAGTAGTAAACTGAGTACACAACTAGTTTACAACTAAGATTTTCGTGTGTACTGCAACTAAACTACAAGTAAACTTACTAGTCAAATACTTGTAGCACATTTTTTTGTAGATTATGAAAGTACACTTTGAAGTACACTCAGTAAATGCTAAATATACTTGCAGCCAGACTAATTTAGTATACTTCAAGTGTATTAATGATTAGTTAACTTGAAGTGTGCTATTTTGAAACAACTAATTTCATTTTAAGTATATTTTAGTTGTAATTAAATTGTAGTAAAGCATAACTTGAAGTTGTTCCAATTTAGCACACAAAAGTACACTAAATACATTTAAAGTATACTTAGTATACTTTAAGTATATGCCTGTGTAGGGACTAATTACATACTTGATTAGTGATATAAAAATTGGGATTGGGATCGGTCCAGGTCCACGAGCTGGGACTCGAACTCGGGTCTCCCAAAGCACAATGGCTATTGGCGCACTTGCCCACGAGGCTATCAGCACCAACCACAAGTGTAACACATATTGCACACTTTGTCTTCAATAATAAATGCACATTAATAGACAAATAATACTAAGCTATACTTGTACAAAATACTATTGTATACTATAATGTATTTCGAAAGTATACTTTCAATGTATTGTTACAATGATCATTTCCAGCACACAGTAAAAATATACCTAAAATATATTTTTAATAAAGCGCAAATAAATACACTTTTAAACAGAATTTTCACTTCAAGTATATTTTTCTAAAATATATTTTTAGAAAATATACTAAAGTACATTTTTAAAGTGTGTTAAAAGTTGTATTGTGAAAATAGGTAAAAGCATGATGCGAATATACTTTTAATATATTTGAACATTTTTGTTAGTATATTTGCAATGTACTATTGAAAAAGGGAATATATATCCCTTAAAAAGGCAGTATACTTTTTTTCACTAGGGAACTATTGGTTTAGTAATTTTATACTGCAAGTATACTTGTAAGTTTTCTTAACACCATACTTATAGTTGACTATTTATATATTATTTTGCACTTTAAGTATACTACTATGTTCCTGTTAAGGTATTACTTTTTTATACTTGAAACTTAACTGTACTTTAAATTTTTCCATTTTAAAACTCATTTTATTCTAACTTCAAGCATCCTTTATTATCATTTAACAAACTTGTATTATTTTTACTTCAATGAGCTCATTGTTTCTGCCTTGAATTAATACATTGTTTAAATTAATACATTATTAGCTAACTGTGTGATTTGTAAATGTACATTTTTGAAATACATAACTTGGACACAGTCACCTCTGATAACAGATCACTCTATATTGTAATGTAGACATGCATTTTCTGTAAAGCTGTTTTGAAACAATATGTATTGTGAAAAGCACTATACAAATAAATGTGAATTGAATTGAATTATCAACACTTGAATGTGAGTAAGTTTCATAAAAAAGCTAAATATTAAACAAAATGCTGATAAAATCGCATTTTTGTCAAAGACTACATCCGGATGGAATTCAGAATGATGATCAAAACACAGATGGAGTAGATCAAGTCCATCAACACCCCCAAAGCTTCACAGTCGTTTCCTCTTCATGGGTTTGACATTTCATTCGGTAACGTTAGGCAGATTTGAACTTATATGCTGTTTATTGTTTGATGATCGCATTATTTTACATTGGCATAAGTGTTTTGATCTGGAGATTCTGTACTCTTTCACCCACCTTATAACAGTGGAAACATGGATAGCCTGGACAATCAGTGGCGGGGAAAGAGTAAAGTAGATTTTAAGTAAATTCCTATGTACATTACCAGTGGACTAGCCTACACAAAAATTCAGATACTCAGAATTAGGAACGTATCTATTTTCTTTATAAATCAATATTTTCAAACAATGTAAGTTTATAAGACATTATGTAAAACTATGTGAAAAAAAAGTATTTAAGAGGCTTCTCAATCAAATGTAAAAACACAAGCCGAGTATACTTAGAATACCTAACTATACGTTTAATCTCGCTCAAAAGATTAAGTACAAGTATAGGCCTAATATACTTAGACTTTTATGTCAGTATGTCAAGTATACTTAAGAGCAATTTTAGGTATACTTCTGAGAAGTACATAAAGTAGACTGAAAGTATTTTTATTTTAAAAGAAGTATACTTACAGCACACTTGAATAAACTTCTTTTACACAAGGGAAAACAGATATATGTTGGGCATGATTAAAGTTAAACACAACAGACACACAAACACTTCATATTTAGTAAAACATACTGAAAATGGCCTATTTTATATTCTAAAATCTAGGTTTAAGTTTTGTTCTGTGTAAATTAAATGTAAATGGTCCGCTTCCTTACATAAATGCAAGCGCCGCTACAACAGTATCCTGCGGATCACCTTTATGAGATTGCCATCAAGCATGACATCACCCCCCCTTAACCCCTTAACCTGCAATAATAAAAAATAAAGGCATGGATAATAATAAAATAATAATAAAAAACGCAAAGAAGTTCCTCTGTTCGCAATCAAAAAAGTTTCAGTCCAAGAATCCTGTAAGCAAATACATTCAATCAGTCAGTCAGCCCCAAATAGTACTGATGCAGAGAAAAAAAGATGGCAGAGAAAATAGTGACTCACATTCAATTTTCAGTAAATTATTCATTCCAGTGTGTAGTGAACGTATTTAACTTTACATTTATATCTCAATGTATACAACTTTTAAAATTATCACCAAACTACTGAATGTACCTTTAATATCAGTGTTTCTTGTAAATTTCTCCACCTTCCCCAGATTGAGAGCATCTCCAGTGTGCCTAACGTGACGGTTGGTTACTATGTGACCCATGGAGAGATGGTGTACACTGCCTCAGTGGTGGTGGAAGCTCTTAGCATCTATGGTATGGAGAGATTGATGGCAGACATTCGGCAGTTTGTGCCGCTGGTGCAGGCGATTCCCATCCCAGCAGTCCCCTGGAGACCCAGCCCTGCCATCTCATTGATGCTGAAGACAGGTCAGGCTCACAGCTCAATCTCTGTCACCACACTAATGTGTCAACGCTGCCACACATATTTTTTTTTCCATATCCATTTAATAATACAGCCATTGTCATTGTGAGACCTAATACTATTTGTCCAACTCATGTTGGATGTCATTTAAATTAAGCTTAATTGAATCATGATGCAGCAGAAATGTAGATGGCAGTTCAATCAAATATAAAGAGAAAAAAAGGCACAGGAGAAACAAAAGGCAGCATAACAGCTTGCAGTTAAACACGATCCAGACCGAGAACTGAGCAAACCAAGGGTAAATAAATACACAGGATAACAAGGAACAAAACAAGATACAGGTGAACAACATAATCAGTAACCATAGAAACAAACAGGGACCTAATCAGAAACCAAGGCAACTAAGGAAACGGGAACTAAACATATGAAACTAAACATATGAACTATGAACACAGAAACAAAGGGAAGAAAGAACCTCAATATAAGAGTCTCAAACAGAATTAGAATATGAAAAATTGGTTCTCAAGTGTCTTGTAAGCGAAACATCATGTCATGCTGGCATATTTAATGTGAGAGCTGCAGAAGCGGTGAAGATTTTTAGTGAATAACTTTCGGTCTGTTCTTCAAAGCTATCATATGGCTTGGAATATGGCATACTGGCATACTGGCCCTTTTATGGTGGCACCACAGACTTTGTATTTCTTTTAACAAGAGACGTGTCAGTAAATAAATGGGAGAACAAAGTAACTTACGTTACTTATTTGAAAAAGTTACTCAAATATTTTGTTATAAATTTAAAAGTAATGCATTTTACTAGTTACTTCAAAAAAGTAATCTAATTACGTAACTCGCGTTACTAGTAATGCGTTACCCAAAACACAGCATGTGATATTGCTTAATTACATCTTTAATAAATCCGAAATTGATCAAGCATTTAGCAATGCCATGGTATATAAAATATAATACTTTTAAGAATGGTAGCCTGATGGCACCGAGTATGTGCTGCATTTTTCAGCAACTTCTTTTTATATGGTGTCTTCTCTGTGCATGTCTTTATGTTTGTGTGTAGTTCTGAGGTTTGTAGGACCAGGATATGACCTCAGGTCCTGCAGATTTACTCAGATGATGGAGCAGAGACTGGAGAATGCTTTTGCTGAAGCCGAGGCCATAGTGATGAACTCTCATAGCAGCCTCACTGTACAGGTGGGAAGGACTTAACTACTTTAAACTACTTTATTAACCTCTAAAACTATAACTTTTGCATGTCAAATGAGGTTGGTTGGATTCTATGCATTCACATTTTTGGGGGGGAAAAAAGTTTATAATGCATTTAATTTTTTTGTCATATGTTTTTAGTTTCTCTCTTCTCTTTTCTCACAGATCTTGAGCACATCTCAGTCTTTGGGTACTCCTGCTGTATCTCTGATATATGTGGTACATAATGGCAGTGTCTCTCTCAATGGCACAACAGCCAGTAACCTCCTCAGCCACCTGACCGCTGAGCTTGTCGGCTACTTCCTGTTTTACCCTCCACTGATTACTGCTGAGCGTAAGTGCTTTCTGGCATTCCTCAGTTATACAATTAAGATGTAACGAATGCAATTGGTACAATTTGTATTTCCTTTTTAGATAGTATAGTAGGAGTATAGTATGCAAAACGTCTCGGGTTACGACTGTAACCCTTGTTCCCTGAGAAGGGAACGGGACACTGCGTCGACTACGACACTTTGGGGAACGCCCTTAGCGTAACACATCTGAAGTATGAATGAAACTAATCCAATCCTGATTGGTGCTGCATCATGACGTAACATGTGATGGAATACACAGAAGCTACAAAAAGACGCCGGCACACAACAGAGTTAGCTTCTGCGAGCAAGTCGCTCCCAGGCAGGGGAAGGCGTGGTGAAGGGACGCAGTGTATCGTTCCCTTCTCAGGGAACAAGGGTTACAGTCATAACCCGAGACGTTCCCTTTCGAGGGAATTCGAACTGCGTCGACTACGACACTTTGGGGAACGAGTACCCACTATGCCACAACGAGCCCTGCCTGTCCCAGTGTGAGGCTGCGCACAGGCACACTTAGGACGAGAGCATTAGGGTGCCTGGCGTAGAAGAAATGTCCAGGCTATAGAATCTGATAAAAGTATGAGGGGTGGCCCATCCTGCTGCATTGCACACTTCTTGGATCGGGACCCCTGAAAGGAGGGCTCTAGAGCACGCCATGCCTCCGGTTGAATGAGCCCTCACGGCCAAAGGTGAAGGCAAGCTGCGCACCTGATAGGCCATAGAGATAGCCTGAACGACCCAGTTACTGATGGTCTGTTTGGATGCGGGAAGCCCCTTCTTGGGCGACCCAGAGCACACCAGCAACTAATCTGACTTCCGCCATGAAGAAGACCTCTGGACATATATCTTGAGAGCTCTGACAGGGCAGAGCAAATTAAATCTTTCTTCATCCGCCGTCACGTGAGGTGGAGGATGAAAGCCTGCAGAACCGTAGGCCATGCCACATTAGATGGCACTTTAGGCACATAGCCCGGCCTGGGATGCAAGATAGCCTTAATGTTGCCTGGAGCAAACTTCAGGCACCCATGAGATATAGAGAGTGTCTGAATGTCTCCTACTCTCCTCAGAGAAGTAATGGCTAATAAAAAAAGCTACCTTGAGGGAAAGGTTCTTGGCCTCAACCGACTCCAGAGGTTCGAAGGGGGCCTCGACCAGCCCTTCTAGAATCACTGCCAGGTCCCATGTGGGAGCTCTGGTACGAGCCGCAGGTCTCATCCTCCGAGCACCACGGAGGAAATGTACGACCAGCTGATGTCTCCCCAGAGGCCCATCAGCCAGAGGAGCGTGGAAAGCCGCAATGGCAGCCACGTACACCTTGAGTGTGGACGGGGTAAGACCAGCCGAGAGGCGATCTTGGAGGAGCTCCAGCACTGAAGCCAACCGGGCAGTTAACTGGATCCACCTCACGCTCTCTACACCAAGTGGAAACACATTCCACTTTAGGCCATACAATCTCCTCGTGGAAGGAGCCAGACCCAATGTATCCACAGGTATGGTCGAGGGAGAATATTGAGCCCCCGGCCTGTGGAAACAGGTCCCTCCTCGGAGAGATCTGCCAAGACTGGGCTGCCAGGAGTTCTATGATGTCTGAAAACCATACCCGGGCCGGCCAGTACGGGGCGACTAGAAGTAGGCTTATCCCGTCCCGACAGACCCTCTCCAGAACTCATGGGAGCAGAGCGATCTGGGGAAAAGCGTACAGGCGTAGCCTCGGCCACGTCTGTACCATGGCATCCAACCCCAATGGGGCTGGATGAGTGAGAGAAAAACCACTTCCCTCGAGACGTGAACAAATCCGGGGCCGAACCTCTCAATATCGACTTAACCACCTCGGTGTGAAGTCTCCATTCCCCAGGCCTCAGCCCCTGCCTTGACAGGATGTCTGCTTTTTGATTCTGGTCCCCTGGGACATGCATTGCTCTCAGAGATAACCGTTTCCCCTGGGACCACAGGAGGATCTGATGCGCCAATCTGGATAGAGGGCGCAATCTCAGAACCCCCTGATGAATCAAGTAGGAGACCACCGACACATTGTCTGCATGGTGACCCCTGAGGTCTGGGAGGAAGCTCCTCAGAGCACTGCCTGACCGAGCCCCAGCCCGTGAGGGAGGCGTCTGTCGAGACGGATTTCCGCGGAGGAGTGATTCTCGCTCATCCCTCCACGGGGGGGACAGCCCTGCTATTTTCGTCTCGTTTTCGATACCCTGAAGTGGAGGACCGGCAGGGAAAAATTGAAAACGATTTTCGACGTTCGCTGCTTATCATTTTAATTCCTCAGAATTAAATGCAGCCATAAACACTGGATAAGTGAAACTCGGTCTGGGTGGTAGGCTGAATTAAAATATCTAACTTCTTAAAGTCAGATAATATTCCATCATTTTAATTTCATAGAATTAAATGCAGCCATAATCACCAAACAATACTGTTTTAATATTATTTACGGTCTCGTAATCTACGTGCTGCCTCGGCAAACGCGAGATTCGAGTCATTCACAATATATTTGGCTTTCATCTCTCGAGAAGTAAGTCAACGGGCGCGAGGCTGAAACACCCGAAAACGCACGGCTGTGTGTGTCGAGATATTTCTCAATGAACACTGCCAGCACCCTCAGGAGCTGACTGTGCATGCCTCACACCCACACAGAATCTTTATTGCAGACCCGTAATCTACGCGCTGCCTCGGCAAACGCGAGATCCGAGCCACTATAGATTCTGTATTGCAATGCAGACCTTTAATCTACGTGCTGCCTCTGCAAACACGAGATCCTAGTCATTGAATATTTCTTTTTTTTGCAGAGTAGACCCGTAATCTACGCGCTGCCTCTGCGAACGCGAGATCCGAGCCACTATAGATTCTGTATTGCAATGCAGACCTTTAATCTACGCACTGCCTCGGCAAACGCGAGATCCCAGTCACAGAATCTTTATTGCAGTGTAGACCCGTAATCTACGCGCTGCCTCAGCAAATGCGAGATCTGAGCCACTATAGATTCTGTATTGCAATGGAGACCTTTAATCTACGCGCTGCCTCGGCAAACGCGAGATCCCAGTCACAGAATCTTTATTGCTGAGTAAACCCGTAATCTATGCGCTGCCTCGGCAAACGCAAGATCTGAGCCACTAGATTCTATATTGCAATGCAGACCTTTATTTAGGACAATTCTTATGGGACAAACAACACCAAATAGGACAGACAGTTTGACACAGAGCACTTACTGAAGAGCAAAAAGCTAACTCTGTTGTGTGCCGGTGTTGTGCCGAATTTCGCCCCCGCCAAATTATTACCCCCCTAGCATTGGTAGGTTTAGGATTAGTTGTGGGGCAGGGGGTAGGATTGGGGGCGGGGTTGGGATTAGGCAATCAGGTACTGACTTCATCGAGGGGGTAATAATTTGGCAGGGGGTCGAAATTAAGCACAACACCTTTGTATGCCGTCACATGTTACGTCATGACGCAGCACCATTCAGGATTGGATTAGTTTCAATGATACTGCAGATGCGTTACGCTAAGGGCGTTCCCCAAAGTGTCGTAGTCGACGCAGTTCGAGTTCCCTCAAAAGGGAACTGACAATTCATTTAATTTTTGGTTGATATTTATAAATCTGAACTATCACATATTTAAAAAACAAACAAACAAACAAACATATAAACAGCATTAATGCTAAAATGTTTTTTTTAGGACATAATTATCTAAACATGATAGAGGCATAATAACATTGATGATTCTCTTCAGAGAGTTGAAGCATTTTCTGTTTGGTTTGTAGTCTTCACAGGTTCATGCATACATGGGCCTGGGCACAGCATGCACATCAAAGCCAATTACAAGGAAACATAATTAACAGTTGGGAATCCCAGATACACTTGTGTTTGTGTCTGTGTGGAAAGAACACGGTTCCACTAGCAACTGTAATGCGATGGTGAGAATATCACACACCTCGCTGTCACACTTTTGCTCATGCTGACTGTGGGTTGTTTGCTTTCTCCTCGCAGTCCATTATCTTGTCTGCTTTGTCTTTACTTTGATTAAGTTTTTATTTACATTTTCTTAAGTTGAAATGCATTTATTTACAGAACAGAGTCGTAACTAGGGCTGGGTATTGGTATAACAGCTTGTTAGTTCAGCCCAAAATTAAAATTATCCCATAATTGACTCACCCTCTAATCATCCTAGATGTACTGTATACTGTATACTTTCTTCTTTCAGCCAAATACAATCAGAGTTATATCAAAACATATCTCAGCTCTTCCAAGCTTTATAATGGGAGTGAATAGTAACTGAGATTTTAAAGCCTGAAAAGCGTTTCCATCCATCATAAAAGTAATCCATACGGCTCCAGGGGGTTAATAAAGGCCTTCTGAAGCAAAGCGATGCTTTTTTGTAAGAAAAATATCCATAATTACAATGCATTCTATAAAATAAGCATATGTGTAGTAAATAAATTTTGGACATACGTACTTCATCTGGAAGTGGTCTGGGCTTTAACCGGAAGTTTGTGAAATTAGAAGCCCGTTTTAAATGTAATTCTGTTCCCTTCATAGTCTTCATTTAATAAATATGCCTTATATATAATATATACAATTTATATTTAAATGTATATATATATATATATATATAATTTTTTTATTATAAGTATAAAATTTATTGAAATATCTTATAATTAAAACAATAATACTAAATGCTAAAAAAGGGGATTTTTTTCCCCACAAAATCTAATAAGAGGACACTTTATAAAACAGCTGATTAGAGAACATGAAAGTTTATATACAATATTCAGTGGTTGAATAAAAAAAAAAAACTCTTACTATGCATACAAGTGCAAATCTGAATAAGTGATAAAAAATGCATGCTGTGCAATCTCTGAGAGAGTGAGACAGAGAAACGTTTCATATCGTACAAGGTTTAAAATTTTAAAGGGGTCATATAATGCCATTTTCATACAAGTTAATTTGATTCTTTAGGGTCTAAATGAAAAGTTTGTAATATAATTTAATTAAAAATTCTCATTAGTATTGTAAGAAAACACTCATTTTACCTGGTCAAAAACAGCTCTGTTTTCAGCACGCCGTTTAAGTGCATGTGTCTTTAAATGATAATGAGCTTATCTCACCCCGCCCCTCCGTTCTGTGGGGCGTTTTGACACAACACAAGTGGAGTGTTGACTTGACTTGAATTTTGGAGAAAGAATGGCAGCTGGAGTCTCTGAGGACACATCTGTGCAACCGTATCAGTTTGAACCGTAGTAGGACCCGGAACAAGACGACGGCCCCGAAGAAGTTTCTTAGAAAAACCAGCTTTATACTGACCCTCGTTTATAAAGCAGTCTGGTGAGAAATGATTAGCTCAAACATGAAAGCATTGACGTTGATCGTGGGGAATATTCCCTTCGAAAACAAAACTCAGCCACTGCGTCTTCAGCGGTTCGGATTTAGGAACATCAAAATGACTGCTGTGTTCGTTATTATACCCAATAACAGAACACCACAATCGCTTCGAAAGACACCATTCTGCTCCATCGTATCAACAATGGAGGGCGGCAGTGGCTCAGTGGTTCATGTTGGTTGTCTACAAACCGGAAGGTTGGTGGTTCAATCCTCGGTTCCACCTGACCAAGTGTCGAGGTGTCCATGAGCAAGACACCTAACCCCAGCTGCTCCCGACGAGCTGGATGGCGCCTTGCATGGCTGCCGTCGCCCGTCGGTGTATGAATGAGTGTGTGAATGGGTGAATGTGAGGCAAATTGTAAAGCGCTTTGGTGGCCATTGGGTCTGTGAAAGCGCTATATAAATGCAGTCCATTTACCATTTACCAACAATGACGGACTATGATGACAGCTCGCTCAGGGCGGGTCTGTGTTGAAACGCTGCTGTCAATCAACAATCGTGGGAGGGGCGTCCGACCACGTGACGTCACATTAAAGATTAAAAAAAAAACACTGGATGGATATTAATCATTATATGACGGCAGGGGCGTGGTAGCGGGGGGAAAAGGGGTACAGAGTACCCAGGGCCCGAGGCAGGGGGGGGGCCCTTCGAAGTCGCCGCCGCTCCCCCCCCGTTGGAGAAGTCGCCGCGCTCAAGTCAAAAAGTCCGTCTCGACCCCCCACCCCCGTTGGAGAAGTCGCCGCGGTCAAGTCAAAAAGTCCGTCTCCACCCCCACCCCCCCCCTTGGAGAAGTCGCCACACTCAAGTCAAAAAGTCCGTCTCCACCCATCCCATTTACCAACAATGACGGACTATGATGACAGCTCGCTCAGGGCGGGTCTGTGTTGAAACGCTGCTGTCAATCAACAATCGTGGGAGGGGCGTCCGACCACGTGACGTCACATTAAAGATTAAAAAAAAAACACTGGATGGATATTAATCATTATATGACGGCAGGGGCGTGGTAGCGGGGGGAAAAGGGGTATTAATCATTAATACCCCTTGACAGGCACTGCCAACACACATTTCAGTACAATCAACTTGAAAAAGTGCATGTACCATTATATGACCCCTTTAAATATACATATCAAAGTAGTAGAAAATATATGATGTAGTATCTTAGTTGATATCACTCTTGTCAAAGCTATGATTTCTGAGAGATGCAAAGTGGCAACACGGCTATATTTGATTTGTGATCACACTGTCCTTAATTCATTCATGAAGTTAACACTCATTTGTGTATCATATTGTACAAGGTTTAAAACATTTAAATAGACATATCAAATAGTAGAAAATGTGTATGATGTAGTATTTTAGTTTATATTTGGCCCTCTTGTCAAAGCTCTGATTTCTGAGAGACGCACAAACAGAAACATGGGATTTGATTTGCGGCTATTAGCAATGGCACTCTACTAATTTCATTCATAAAGTTTACTCTCATTCACTTCACACACTCATTATTTTGTAGTGATGTGATATCCCTGGAGCACCTTTTATCCAGCAAACAAGGTACCCGAATATTTTTTCCTATTATGAGGTAGAATTTGTTATTCATTATCCATGCCTTTCTGAATAAGGCAGTGAAGTAGTCATATTTAGACATGTCTTTAAGAGTGAGTCATTGAGTCATTCATTGAGTCATTCACCCAAGCAATTATTTGTTTAAAACTGATTCATACAAGACACTGAAACCACCACTACAAACCACCAAGACAAAAATACCGCCACTGCATCGGTTGATCCTGCTTCGATCATTTTCAAAATTGGTTTCATCATTGTTTTAGTCATCATTTTTGTCATATTTATTTATTTATAATAAAAAAATGGGACCTGTGACCTGTAGAGGATAAAGCAGTTTGAGGGATGGGTTTTGAAAAATACATTTTATTTGAAAAATGATATGCTTGTAAAAATTAAACGCTGGTCAAAACACTTAGGCTGTTGTTCCTCAGATTAGACCTTAGAAGACCTTGGTGGAGTAATTCAACAGCTGTTGGAATTTTACTGGCTGCTTAGTGATTCTGCCTTGAAGACAGGATGTCAGCCAGAGCCTTTAATCACACTGCCAGTATGCAATCGAGTAAATGTTTCATTTGGGGAATACGGCTAGACTCTCTGTACTGTCTGTTGGAGAGTAGATGTGCTCAGCTAAGCCTCTAGACCCAGGATCAAAGCAATATCTTTGGATACAAGCTTTCTTATCTACCCTTCCTCTCTACAACAGTTTCTCTTGCTTTCTTTCTCTCCCCTCTCACTATCTTTCCTCTGCAGCTCTGGAATACCATAACCTCAACACATCGGTAGCAACCAGGCCATTTTGGATTATCACAGGTAATTATCTTATTGATGAATGTTCATTACTAGCCATATAAGTGAAATAACTTCATTTAGAAGAATTTGATTATTTTCTGTTTCCTCTGTTGACTTTTCTGACATCTGCCCACAGCTTTTGTTCTGGATAACTGAGATTTCCATAGATGATTTTAACTCCCATTCCCATTATATGGAGGGATGTGGTGTAAAATCAAATTGTTTGAGGTTTTTACTCTGTATATGTTTGCTTTAAGATCCTCTATATGCTAGAATACTCCTAAAACCTCACATAAACAAACTGTTAGAACATGTGGGAAACGTGATTTTGTTGTTGTGTTATATTACAAGCATTTTCACATAACATGCATAACAAATACTTAAGCCATGTGCTCCAGTGAGTTTGTATAATACGTATATGCTGCCATTCTATGGCAAGATTAGATAATTAAAAATTTCTTTCCATTCTATGTAAACACAACAACCCATCTCTTATACTGTTTCTGTAATTGATCAGTTAATCAAGATCTGAGCGTGTTGAATAATGCTAATATTCATGAATTGGTACAGGACACAATCATTTATCATGCTTTGACTTTGAAAATATTTTTATTGGCAGAGCAAAAACAAACACAACGACAAAGTCATTTTTGTCATTGGTTTCATCATCGTTTTGGTCATAATTTTCATCATTTCGTTGACCAAGTACAACATAATTGAGAAGTAACTACTGTGAGCAAGACTCTACAGCAGTGGTTCAGCAGCAACTCTGGCCCTCAAGGTCCTCCGTCCTAAAGAGTATAGCTCCAACCCTGATCATACTCATCTGCCCATAACTTTTTAGCAATCCAGAAGACATTGATTAGCTTGTTCAGGTGTTTTTAAGAACCTAAATTCTGCAGAACTTGAGGGCCAGCGATGAGAAACTCTGCTCTACAGCAAGACTCTTTCATTTAATGTCTCTGCCTCTCTTTATCTCTCCAGTGATTCAGGATGTGGAAAACTCCTCTCTGGAAGGACAGTACCAGAGCTTTGCCAGTCTGATGGAGGAGCGGTTGGCTGAGCTCTTCATGGTGGCGCATCAGCAAGGTGTTCGCTTCAAAAGGGCAGCAACGGTGGGCAGTTACACTGTCCAGGTACGACCTAATGGAACTTCCAAGTGCTAATGTATTGAGCAAATAAATAATTATTTTAAAAAAATACATTAATTCTGGAAGACAGATTCACAAACCCTATGTAAGAAATGGCCATAGTTTGGCCCAACAACAGTATAGTCATTTCTTACTTGAATCAGTTTTAACTGAAGATGTCAAAATACATTGTTTGGCATTTGGAAATTGGCCAAACTATACTACTTCCATATGTTTTTCCTTCAAATTAAATTTGTTTAGAGATCTACAATCAGGATTTGAAATTAAAGGGATAGTTCACTCCAAAATGAAAATTCTGTCAGTAATTACTCACCCTCATGTTGTTCCAACCCCGTAAGATTTTCGTTCATCTTCGGAACACAAATTAAGAAATTTTTTATTAAATCTGAGAGCTGGATCACTCCTCCATAGGCTTCTAAGGGATTGAAACTTGCCAGCCCAGAAAAGTTATTAAAGACATCGTTAAAATAGTCCAAGTGACTACAGTGGCTCAATCTTAAGTTTATCAAGCGACGAGAATACTTTTGTGCGCAAAAAACAAACAAAAATAACGACTTTATTCAACTATACATTTCCTTCTCTGTTGGCCTCGAGTTTGTTCACGTAGTGTAAAGGTGATGATACACAGGGCAACTTTTTGAGCAATGTTGCAGGGCAATCTTGCTGAGCGATTGTTGCTTGGGCACTTTCCCATTGAAAATTGGCAATACATTTCTATCTGGATAATTTAGATCTGTCGTGGGCCCTGTGTCTCATCTTGTTGCCCGTTGACGGCAACATTGCCCAGCAACATTGCTCAAAAAGTTGCCCTGTGTATCATCACCTTAACTGCGCAGCGCTTCTGTGTTGTAAGTCACATGTAGGCTCACTATTGGCCTCTCTGGTTATGCGTGTGACGTACAACCAGAAGCGCTGCGCAGTTACACTATGTGAACTATCTCGAGGCCAACAGAGAAGAATAGTTGAATAAAGTCGTTATTTTTGTTTGTTTTTTGCGCACAAAAAGTATTCTCGTCGCTTGGTAAACTTAAGATTGAGCCACTGTAGTCACTTGGACTATTTTAACGATGTCTTTAATAACTTTTCTGGGCCGGCAAGTTTCAATCCCTTGGAAGCCTATGGAGGAGTGATCCAGCTCTCAGATTTAATAAAAAATATCTTAATTTGTGTTCCGAAGATGAACGAAAATCTTATGGGGTTGGAACAACATGAGGGTGAGTAATTACTGACAGAATTTTCATTTTGGGGTGAACTATCCCTTTAACCCGCCAAATGGGGTTGTGTCGGGTAATGCATATCAACACACTAGCCAATTTGGTGGGTTATGATTCATATTCTATTCTATCACTATCATATTCTATCACTTTGCATGGCATCGCTATCATAGCCCTTCCCCCAAAAGGAGCCTCAAACAATAGCAAAACAACGCGTAAAGAGTGTGGCGCATTGCAAGGCCACGCCTTTAAAACAAATTCGAACACATTGTTTTTTATGACTGTACGCACACCCAACTATGACTCCAGCTGTTCAAATCATGCCGCACCACAGCACCGCCACTCACAGTTTTCTATTAAAATACAACAATTTAGGGAGAATATATTTACGTATTTAGATTCACTGTTTTGGACTGCCGCCTTGAACTTGAGAACACGAATACAGAATGATGCGACCAGTGTGCGATAACCCTACCTGTGAGATGTCCACGCCGCTGTGCGACCAGTTAACAGTCCGCCAGAGCCCTAGGAGACAATTAAGAGACCACTTTTTCCAACTCGTTCTCATAAATACCTACCGTCTTTATTGTTACGTGCTGGTAAACTCATGGCAAATATAAGAGATGACACAGAGAATTTTGTTTTTATTTCTATTTTATTTTATTTGAATGGTACCCGCAAACAGTGACTGACTGTCGTAAAGCTGAAAGCAATGCAAAGATTCAAAATCAGATTTAATAATAAATATATTTAAATCTAAGCTGTGACTTTGATAATCTGGTTTATTTCTGATATTTTTGTTTTTGGCTAGCATAAGTTCTAAATCGCTGGTAACTTAAAAATTTTGTAGCCAAATTGGCTGGTGAGTTCATTTCAAACCCTGTCTACAATGTATGCTTAAAACTGTAAATTATTGTCAGTTACAAAGAGTACTGTTGTTACAACCTACCTGACTACTGGGGTAAGTTGTAACAGTATGTGGGGTGGGATGTAGAAAACATGGACATTTTAGATTTTTAGCATGAATTCATTGTGGTAATCAAATTTTTAGTTTGCCATTCCCCATCACCACCTCTATTAATTCTACACATTTAAATGCAAAATGGTACAAATTTAAAACAGAAATGTAAACATATATAGAAATTGAGGAAAATAAATATATAATTTGTATTATTTATTTGCTTTTGGTAACATGTAGAAGAAAAGTGTGGCTGAATGTTACATATCACATTAAACAAGAATATTTGCCAATTCAAATTATACCAGTTTTGTCATTTAACATTATACCATTAACATTTAACATTAACATGATCACAAATTATAATCCAAAAGGGGTATTATTATATTATTTTCTTACCTCTTTTTTTATTTTCTTAATCTTTTTTTATCTTGCAAAATTTATCCTGAATATATTTTCACACAAAATTTTCTACTGTACATCTACTGTTACTTCAGGAGTGAATCATGTATGATAGTGATTTCACCCCTGTTGCTCATTTCTAATTAATTAATCTTACAGGCTGCATCTGAAATCGCATTCTTCCCTACTATATAGTAGGCAAAAAAAAGTTTGTGACAAAAGAGTACAGTACTCATAAAAGGCAAAAAGTACCCGGATGACCTACACTTCACTATCACATGAGGCCACGGGAGAGGAATTGTGTATGGCAGTGAAGCGATGCAACTAACGTTGGTAGGTCACATGATAATTACAACATGGCGAATGTAGTTCGTCCAGCTTACATTCATACTATATAGAATGCATTTGTGAAGTAATTACTTATTCAAAATAAGTATATACTCAAGAGAGTATGCGATTTCGGACGCAGCCACAGTGTCACAAAACGTCTCAGGTTAAGACTGTAACCTATGTTCCCTGAGAACAGGGAACGAGACACTGCGTCGAATGATGCTTTGGGGAATGCCTCAGGCGTGACAGGTGTCTGAAATCATTATCAAATCACGGCAATCATGTTGACCGTCGACAGCCCGTGAATCATTAGCGTGAATGATTAACGTGCGACCTGGATATATATAAGGGCGCCTTACAAACATGACAATATCCTTTCGTCTGAAGGGACTGTTTGGTAGGCAGGTCCCAAAGCATGGCAGGAAGACGCAGAGTCTCGTTCCCTGTTCTCAGGGAACATAGGTTACAGCCGTAACCTGAGACGTTCCCTTTCAAAAGGGAACTCACACTGCGTTGAATGACGCTTTGGGGAACGATATACCCGCGCCGCCATGCTAAGGGGAGTGCATACCCATTGGCAGTGACAACTGTCAGAACCAGCAATTCAATGAAACGCTAGAACCACTCACCCTCAGGTCACACTGGGCTGTCAGTGACAGCATTCCCTACGGTCATAGCCCAAGCTATATGTTCCACCGGAACCTCCATAAAAATAGTTTAATGAAAGGCCTACCTGGGCCTGCTCAAGGGCCTAGGACCACAACTTCAAATTAGAAGGGGTCCTTTCTAGGGAATGTGGCTAGGGAACCCGAAGAGACCCCAGCCAGTCACTATTCGGGGACGTACCACCCAAAATGCCACCAGGACGGCCTGACCTGGTGTCACTTACATAGACACTTCAGTCTGGCCACTTCCTGTCTGTCTGAAGACAGAGCCTCTGGACACTTGCCTTTAGGTAAGGCATCCAACCCGAGGGACTGCGAATCTGGCAGTGAACCACTTGGCCCGGATCTCAGAGACGGGGTATCCCGGAGAGCATGACTCAGCATAGTGCTTACAACCCTTGCTAGAGAGGGGAGTTTACTCTGCTCGATCCACGGATCTACCCAGTGCTTATGTTTCAAAGCACTGAGGAGGCCTGAGAAGGCCTAAGGACTGATCTAACTGGGAGGCCTCATGAGAGGCTTACGACCGTCTGACCAGACTCAGGAGTCCGCATGCTCATAGTGACCCTCGGTGAGGGGATCACATGGTCCGCCTGGTAGGCAAACCAGACTGTAGGCAGGAAAAAGAGGTTCCGGGAGGGAACCAGTAGCAGAGAATGAACACTTTAGTCGAGCTAGGGCGCAAGCTCGCCTTCAGCAGCTGCCTGTTAAGGCCAGCTAAACTGCTAGCAAGCGGCCACTAGCTTCCTGAAACCAGCACCACTGAGAAACCACTCACAGGTGAGGCCTACTACCTGATTACCACCATAAGTGGAAACTTCCTCCTTCAGGGAGGTCTGTTAAGGCCTACTACCTGATATCCACCCTATGTGGGAATTCGCCTTCAGGGAGGCCTGGTTAGGCATACTACCCGATAGCAAGTCAGGCTGGCTGTCCAGTTGTCTGTCGTTGGGGCTTTGCCTTCAGGGAGGCCTGGTGAGGCCTACTACCTGATAGCCACCATATGTGGGAATTCAACTTCAGGGAGGCCTGGTGAAGCCTACTACCTGATGACGACAAAATGTGGGGGCTCACCTTCAGGGAGGCCTGATGAGGCCTACTACCTGACAACCACAATTTGTGGGAGGCCTGAAGAGGCCTACTACCTGATAGCAATCTAAACAACTGGATGCTATGAGCCCTGAATCCGGGTGACAGCCCCAGGGCGGCCTGCTAAGGCCAGCTAGTCCTGGGACCCAGTCTCGGAGCGGCCTGTTTAACCCTCTGGGGTCTAAGGTGTTTTTGGGGTCCTTGAGATGTTTTGACATACTCTGACATTTGTGCTTTTTTCAGTTGCTTATAAACAAATTACTGGCAAAGGTGTAATTACACTCTATTTAGCACAAACAGGGCTACCATAATATGTTATCAACATGTATGTACATGTTTGTATTTTTGAGAGAATATTGTTTATGCGTGGTTATTGAAAAAACTAAAACTTAAAGTTTCTGAAATAAGGCCACAAAACACATACTAAATATGTGTCCACAAGACTTTTGACTAATGGATGTTGTCGCCTAGAGTTTTTTCTTCAAAATGATCTGAAAATCATCCTGCCTTATCATTCACATAAAACAATAGATTGGTTTAAATTTAAAAATGAGACTTTTTGTTTGGAAAGGCAATATGCGCAGGGGTGTGACCTGCTGTGATTCACACCTGAGAAGACAATGGGCCCGCATAATGAGCGCATAATGGGGCTGCATACTAATGACCCTTTCATTCAGGTGTGTCACTGAGCCACAAGAATGCAATGACAATATATATATATATAGGCCTATATAATACAAAATTGGTTCACAGTTCCAATTATTTATTTATTTTTCAAATTGTGCTTGCAAATTGTATAATATCAAATGTAAACATTTCTAGTAATTGTGCAGTTAATTCTCATACTGTTTTTACAGAAAGTCCTATCCCAAATGTGTCACTAATAAAACACAATACAAATAATTTAAAGAGGAGGCTTATATTGAGCTTTTAAGATTTACCTAAGATTTATTTATATGTAGCCTACATATATTTTTAGCTATTTTAATAAAAAGGTTACAAGTACAACAACAATTAAAATTTTAACTATATTTCAAATGTAATCTTTCTTTGTATATACTAAAGTATACATTTTATCATACATATTTCACAGTTGCGGATTAATTAGTTTGAATATAGCCTACAATCGAACAAACACTATAATAACATCTTAGCAAACAAGCTTATTTGATGTGGCAGTATTTTACAGTAAAAACGACATCTTGTCTTTCATATGTAACATGTAGTTTTTATGATTAGGACATATACATGTTAATTTGCAGTTTAATACGTTGCTTATACAAAAATATTTTATTTCAACATATTTCAGTCGATTTTTACTCATCTCAGTATTGGAATATAGTTAGGTAAAAGCTGTTCATTCATTCACACACAAAAATGCGATTCATATTCAAACAGTCTTTTTGTTTACAGACACTATTTCATATCGCGATTAGAACAAAGCACTTGAAAATAAAGAATGTACCTATTCCTCAGCTGGATCCGTTGCTCCTCCAAATGAAACTACCTGCACTTCTGAGGTAATTTTTTCCAGGATTATTATTAAGATAGTATTATTCCTCACAGCGTCGTAAATATGAGTCTCTTTCGGTGGGTTATCCAGCTGATGTGGGCGTGGATCGCCTCAGAGCATTTGTGTTTGAATAGAGCGCGCGCTCCGTGGGCGTGGTCAAATTAACTTTAATGACCTGAGACGAGAACGACTATCATCTCTCTCTTTTCGTACAGATTACATAAAATGAGAAAATTTGTTTTTTATATAAAGTACTTCATTTAAAAGAAGATAATTCAGGCTTCATGCCTGTGTGCCTGTATACCTGTTTGACTGAGTATTTGCAGAGTTACAGTTCATTTTTTGGACGCGTTTCAGAATGGACTTCACTGACAGAGAGAACGCAGAACGCGCATCATGTTTATTTTTCTTTATTAGGCGAAAAGCACAACACTTTGTTTTTATTGTGAGGTTCCACAAAAAAAATACACACTTAACAGGATCGAATGATGTACAACACTTATTTGTAAGATCAAAATCAACAGAGTAATTTGAGTCTCTTTTGCACTGATAAGGAAAAAAGTGAGCTGGTATCGCCGGTGAGACCGCCGACCCCAGAGCCACCTGAAAGTCTTCTCAAGAAAGAGACTAACTACCACGGACCAGAGGTGTCGGGGACTGAGCTACATGGTGGCCTGACAAGGCCAACCGCTGCTGAGGACTTGCCTATCAGGGAGGCCTGGTCGGGCCTACTAGCTGATAACAAGTCTATTCTGCTACAACAAACACTGTTGGGAACCATACTATTTTAACATAACTATAGGGCCCACCCACAGGAGGCCTAATAAGGCTAGCTACCTGATCGCGGCCATAATGTATGTCCCACAATGTTGGGACTCACCTTCGAGGAGGCCTGTTAAGGCCTACTACCCATCAGTGAGTCTACTGCCAGAACTACTAAGGCCAACCACCTGAGGTAAGCTGGCCTAAAGAGCTCTATTGGGGGCTGCCTGGTCAAGGAGGCCTGCTGAGGCCTACTACCTAACCACACAGCCTTCGTTGACAGAAAAGCTGTTTAAACAACGCCTACAGCATCCTGGTACCTAATCACATTGCCAAAGGCAGTGTACTCAGCAACAAAGCAATACCCTTAAAGCAGGGGAGTACAACATACGCCACTCTGCCTAGTGGAGGCCCCATAACGCGCTCCATAACGTCCACCAGCTCTGCATACGCGGGGCAGGATGGGCTCAGGATCTACCTGAATATCACCCTCATCAACCATCTCCTGCCTGCCTGAAGAGCACTCGCTGCAGGAACAGTCGGAGAAAAGTCTTCCTCATCCACCTGCAGCTCACTCTCGTCAGCCGTCGAATCGTCTGAGGGGTTCACAGTCCTCTGAAGACGATCGACAAGCTCCATCTGGGAACCCCATGATGCACGTCGCCGCTCTGCCTCAGCACGAGCGGGACCTGAAGCACAAGGTCCAGATGCTGAGACCTCTTCGCTCGAGAAGAGGGCCAGATGAAAGCGGAGCGTTTTCAGAGAAAAACGCTCACAGTTTGCACAGGAGGCTCCCTCGAGAACCTCCCGTGCATGCTCTTCACCTAAGCAGAAAACGCACAGTTTATGTGTGTCACTTGGCGTCAAAAACCTTGGCCACGGGTCGGCACATTTCAGAAAACAGTCAGTCTTCTCCGTGCGTTTCATTGTAACCTTTCTCTTACCGTATATCCTCTTTAGCGATACAGACAGAACAGTCCCTGAAGACGAAAAAGGATATTGTCATGTTTGCAAGGCTCCCTTATAGTATATCCAGGTTGCACGTTAATCATTCACGCTAATGATTCACAGGCTGTCGCCAGTCAACATGATTACCGTGATTTGAAAGTGATTTCAGACACCTGTCACACCTGAGGCGTTCCCCAAAGCGTAATTTGATGGAGTGCGAGTTTCCTTTCAAAAGGGAACCCCAAGTCTCCCCCTGTAGACTGTTTGGTGGAAAAGGATTTCAGGGTTACCAAATAAATCTGTGTCTACAGGAAGTGATCAAGCTGTGTTTCATTGCATTCAGATGGTTAGTATCAGGCGTGTGCATGGGCCAAAAAACCCAGCTGAGATGACCTACTATGCCCAGCAAAACGAGACCCCACTGCCTGGCACATCTGGAGCTAAGCTTCTGAACACAGTGGACTCGCAGACCATGGCGCTCACGCTGGGATACTTTGTCCAACAGCAGGCTGAAGGTCAATATTACGTTTTCTTCAAGTTGAACTATAATTATATACATTTTAATACTATATGCAAAAATAGTTAAATTAGTTACAAAATATGGATATGTAACTAAGGATACTGTTTTCCAACTGAGACATGGAAAAATGAATCAAACTTAACTTGTATCAAAACCAGGACATTTCTTTCAAATTAAATGTTTTACTGAACACAATTTCCTGTGTTGACATACCCTAATGAAAAAAGCCTGTACCAAAATGTATTTAAAATACATTTATTTATAATAAGTATAATACAAAACCATTAACATATTTACTGACATATCGCTTGAGACTTACTGATATAAATATTACAATTTAACTTTATTTGGAGTACTTCTTTATTGCACTATGTACATTTCTTAATATTAACCCTGAAATGTGTTTTAATACCACTATTAGTAAGGATAGGATGATCTCTGTATAATATCAGACCTCAGCACTATTTCTGGATAACTAAAGTGCATTGAGTACAACATTAGTTGTTCCAATTTAGCAGACTTTAAGTATACCAATTTAGTAAACTAAAATTGCTGAGTATTTATATTAAGTACATAAATATGTAAATGTATTTGTAGTATACTTAGCATAAATAAATGTATTTCAATTTATTTTTTACTGGGGTATTTCCTATTGAAACAGAAAGTTGTGGAACATTTAAGGTCTCATCCTTTTTTTTACTAGAAAATAACATTTCAATGACATCACAGTCCATCTAAAACATGATTTACCATTTGCATTTACTAGTTAGTGTCAGGCCAGCAGTCAAGATTTCACCTGGCTGCAAATACCATATTAACAGTCATTCAAAAATGAGCAAAGTTGCACAATTGTACAACTTTGTGTCAACCAAGCAAATGAAAAAAAGCTTATTATTAAAGGAGAACTCCGCAAAATGAACCTTTGGTCTAATTACACATTGTTACCTAGTCAACCGTTATCTGAGATTTGTTTTCATGATTATCGAATGGAAATAGTTTTATCTCTAAAAACAGTTTAGCCTATAACGCTAGTATAACGCTAGTATATTGGGCATAGAGTAATGACAAATACAAATCGCTTGTTAATACCACTAACAAGGCTCAAAATAGCCCCACACTAACACGGTAGCATAATGAGGGTCCCTACCTTCAAACCGAAGCATTCAGAACTTTGTCAGTGTCCAGACACTTTAATAAGAAGATTTTATACATACAGTCAACTTCGCGTATACAGGCAGAAGCCATCTTTGAAAAACAGTCTCTACCAGTCGATAGTTCTTTATAACATATTGTTTTTATTACTAACACCTACTACTTCCAGTTAGATTCTGAAGTGTGCATACGATGGACACTTTACTGTTGCATGAGGCCACGAGAGAGGAATTGTGAATGGCAGTGAAGGTCACATGATGATGACAAAATGGCTGATGTAGTACATCCGGATTACATTCCTACACACATTCATCCTATACAGAACATCCTTTTATGCGGTTGCAAAGTAATTACTAATTCAAAATGAGTACCTAGACGAGAGTATGTGATTTCGGAGGCAGCCATATTTGCTAAAGGTTATTATGATCAGCTTTACGGAATAGCATATTGAGGCATCAAAGCTAATAGACATGGACTAAAACTCAAAATATTGCTTTCATTGCAATTCTTTAAGCCAACTAAGTACTGTACGATCCACTGAAAGAAAAAAAAATAATGAGTACTGAAATGCTGCTAATGTAATCAATAACAAAATTATTGTTATGCAAACTAAATATTTTTCCCACCATGCAGCCGTGGTGAAGAATCCACCCAACAACCTTTGGATCATTGCTGCGGTGCTTGCACCCATCGGTGTGGTGACCCTCATCATCATTATCATCACCACGGTGCTCTGTCATAAAAACAAGAGCGATTTCAAAAGCGATCCAATCGGCAACTTCAACCCTAGAGTCAAGGTATGGCAGTGACTGGACACATATCCTGCTTGACCATTTCCCATAAGGCACCTCTTTGCTCTTAACACTCTCATTATTACTCATTATGGTATTTTGTACACTCAGCATATTTTACAGTGGCTTCATCAACAGTTTTCCTCAAATACTTACATGCTTTGGTTTCTTGCCTCTGGGGATACATCCCGAGAGAGCATATGAGAGAGAGCTAGAAATGATTGATGACTCTTCATGCTGTTTTCTCTCATTTAGACTGCTTACTGGAGAGACGTGGGTTATTACCCTCAGGTAGTTATTCAGCTCTTCAATCATCTCACCTGCTGCTCTGGATCCTGATGTACAGTGTTAAGGATGATGTGTAGTGTAGACAGGTCTCAGGGACAAATACTATTGATCTTGCACAATTAAAGGGTTAGTTTACACACACACACACGTACACGCGCACACACACACACACACACACACACACACACACACACACACACACACACACACACACGCGCGCGCACGTGCACACACACACACACACACACACACACAAGACTACATTTCTTTTGTTAATCACACACACAAAAAAATGTTTATCAAAGGGCTGTTTTTTCCATATAATGAATGTGAATGAAGGCAAGAGATGTAGAGCTTTGAAACAAGCACTTCAAGCATTCGTTGTATGTTAAACAGCAGCCTTGACATTCTACAAAACATAAAGAAAATCATACAGATTCGGATTAACACAATGGGAAGTATTTACTAAATTGCACTGAATTTTTGAGTGTACTGTTTCTTTAAAATCTCTGACACAAAATTTTGGATTACATAAATATGAAGATTATGTTGAATTATGTCAATACTGCCGTGCAAAGGCAAAAGACCGTAACTTCGTGTTTGGTCGAAAATTAGTTTTTTATATTTTTGGCACATTCAAGACCCCCTTTATCATGTGGATAAGTATCTTGAGTCAATTCCGTCGTTTTTTCGAGAAAATAATGGGTTGTCTTAACAGTATCTTCCAAAAGCCCGTGAGAAACCAAGGCAGAACACCGTAACACCAGTTACCGCTCTTTGGCTTTGTTTTGGAACGCTCATTTTGAGTTACGGTACTCTGCCTTTGTTTAGCCGCGCGTCGTATGAAGTTACGGTGCTGGCGTTCTATCAAATAATGCTACCTTTCAGATTGTACGGTGTTCTGCCTTTGTTTTGCTCTCCATTAAAATTGAAATTACGATGTAGCCAGTGTACTTTGTACAGCTGCCATCCGTCCCTGTAACTTCTGATGTCCTCAGAGCTTTGTCCAGTACAAATGCGGTCAGAACATTTAGTATGGTCGGAACCCGCTCCATCGACAAACGTGCGATAGTCTATCCATCGCGAATGATATATGCAGAGTTGACAGAAAAAATGTTACACACGCCGTAGCAGGTGAATACAACAAAGAACTAAAGCCCCGCCTCACCCAGATCGGGTACCGGACCTGGTTGAAACAATCATGCATATAGCTGGCAGAGTGCCAAAACTTCACCGGCGCCTTCAGCTCCGCCCTGAACACAGTCGGGCCGACGCGGGACTAATATGTCACAGGGAGTGATAATAATGAAGCAACAACGGTATATTGGTGCATACAACATAATGAAGCAAGAATTGCTGGTGCATACAACATCAGACAAGCTGTTACAAGCGGGTTGTACCTACAATCACACTGTCCGGAATAAATCCGCGGGACGAGCGAAGTGCACTGCACAATAATAGGGCAGACAGCTGAAACCAACGCTACTGAAAAGACGCAGAACACAGAAGGTTGTGCTATAAATGCATTAGTCGTCTAGGTAGTCCAGAGCGCGCTCCCCACCGAGTCTCAAGATGGAAAGCACTGCGTTCGTACTTCGTACTTTTCGTGAACGTACGAGGAGCATGACACCTTCGAACACCAATATACTAAACGAGTCCCCGGGTCGAATGTGCGCGAGGACCTGTTTTATCGTGATAATTTTGAACGCGCGTTTATCAAGTCTTATGTCACTCGGTACCAATTGAAGATCTTACCGCTATGGAGGTATTTTGCCATGTCTCATGTATTAATAATGCCACCAGAATGCAACCAAAGCACAGGGTAGCAATAAGTAGATGTCTATAAGTGTAAATCATACAAAATAAATGCCATGATCACTAGATTTTATACAGGTGTTACTATAATGATTTTGTTAATGGTGATCAGCAACCAAATATTGATAATGTGGAAGTTACTGCCTTTTGCCTTGGCATGACTTTTCACTTTTTGCTGACAATGCAAAGGCAGAGTGTACAGTAACTTTAAAATAGTGGTCAAAAGTCAAGTTTGAGCTCAAGATTTTTTTATGTAGATAATTTTCATTACTAAAACATCTAATTGCCAGATTTACAGTGTCCTACCTATAATTAATTTGGAGGGACAACTGAAAATCTTTAAAGTCATTTTTCTCAGTTCCACACTCTGAGTTAAGGTCTTTCTCATTATTTTTTTATTTTGTAATATTTTGTAACTATTGATGTAATATTAACCCTTACTAGACAGAACTTACTAAATGTTATTTTAAGGCTATCGTTGTTATCATAGAAATGTTTGTATAGAGTGATTGTATAGAAGTTAAGGCATTTTGCCTTTGTATGACCCATTATTGTTTTGCAGATAATGCAAAGGCAGAATACAGTAACTTCCGAATAAGGGTCAAAGGTCAAGTTTGAGCAAATTTTTTTTTAATGTAGATAAATATATTCATTATGACAACTACTTGGCAAATTTTCATTGTCCTACCTATCATACAATTGGCTGGACAACAAAAAAACTTTAAAGTCATTTTTCTCAGTTTCACACTCTGGTGAGTTAAGGTCTTTTGCCTTTGTAGGGCAGAATAGTACAGCAGTATTTTTATTTTTTCAAATTAGGATCTGAATGTATGTGTGTGTATATGTGTGTTTTCCATTGCGTGCTTGTATGCCTAAGCTGAATATTTTAGGAATAAGGTCAGAAATTCTCCAATGATTTAGTTGAAAGTAGGCTAGAGGGACTATGGAAGGGACAGAAACCTCTTGTTCAGAAAAATGCATTTAATACTTAAAAGCAAAAGCAAAAAACATGTATCCTCCTCACTAAAAGAAATGCAGGCATCAGCTCTCTTTTAAACATGTCAAATATGTCTTATTTATTAGATATAATGATCTGACCTGCTTTCCCCAATACAACCTTTGGCCTTTAGTTTGTCATCCACTATTACTGACAAACTACTGCCTGCCCTGAATTTTGCTTGACCATTATAGAACGCATCCTTGCCTTCAGTTATCCAGCAACTGAGGATTTGCTATTTGCAAAATCATATGCAGTGCATTAGTGTTACAATGTGGTGGTAGCAGTGCACGAAGAAGACAAAGAAGATATAAATAACAGTCTTTATTAAACTTCAACACTCAAGCGAACATCAATAATCACAGGAACAAAAACCACCATTCGAGAGAGTAAAACACAGGATATACCAGCAGTTGGTAAACACGATACAAACTAAAGAAACATAGATACGGAACAGGTAAGCATAATCAATAATTTAAAGAGTAACCATAGTGACAAACTAGGGAGTAATCAAGAAAACTAAACAGAGCGGGGAAACTATAGGAAACCGATCAGAAAGTCAAAACCAACCAAAAAAACTGTTGTATTAGTAATACAAAACATTAAACATAAATATATTAAAACAGTAATTTTAGAATATATTTGCAAGGCGTACAGCCATTCTTCACAATGGTTTCCAAGAGATCAGTGCCAGGCCAGCGGTGAGGACAGCTTACAGAAACAATACTTAAGAATCGTAAATTCTCATTTTAATGTAGCAGTCATATTTCTGACAGCACATACACTTTTCTTGCCTGAAATATATAGTCAAAACATTTCTTCAAATTAATTATTTCAAAGGAACACCAAATTATTGATTTGGTAACAAAACAAAACAAAACACTTTTTTATCTGTCTTTAATGGGTGATATTTTATGGAAACCCCATTATGCACTGTACAAAGTGGTAACCTGCCATTTTTATCATAAAAAGCTATTTATACCTTCTTTTTTTGTGGTATTCAAATTCATTTAGTGATGTTAAATGTTATATTTGGCTATATTTGAAGAAGTTCATTTAGATGTTACTATTTTTTTTACAGTGTGGTGTATAAGAATAACCTTCACGCCTGTAATCAAATATGTGAATGTTTGCTCGTTGCTTAGCCTGTCCAGGGGTTTGACTATGCCAAGCAACACCTGGGTCATCAGGGTGGTGATGAGGAGACCCTCCCGGTTACTCAGGAGACTATGGTTCTGCCCCATCCCATTCGAGATGCCCCTCTGTCATTAGATAAGCCCGCACGCCATGATGGATCAACTTCCAAGAAGAGCCTGGCCAGTGAGATGAGGAAAAGGTATTTGTGAAGAAAGCTAACACTTATGGCATGCTGGAATTGCTCAATATTCATGTCACAGCCCTATCAGTGATGCTGTTGTTTGCTGTGATTTGGCACAGGTCCACAAAACTACTTGTCATGGAAGACATAACCTAAAGTAGACACTATACAGTGTACAAGAGATGGTGAGATAAATTAGAGACTTGTTTGCTAATTGCTTTTTAAATCAAATCAGTGCCCAGGATGTCAGTATGATCTTAAAGGGACAATGTGTACTTTTTTATGTATTTTATTATTTAAAATCAATATTTTTATTCATAAATATGTCCTCAATGGTGTACAAATACCTCTGCCAATTATTTGACTTATCGTCGTAAACAAAGAATTTATTATCTTTATATACATGGGATGGGTAGGTCCACGGAGGCTTCCATGTAGTTCCGCCATCTTGAAAAACGTCTCAGGTTATGACTATAACCCTTGTTCCCTGAGACGGGAACGAGACACTGCGTCGTTGAAAACGACTCTTTGGGGACGCTCCCTTAGCGTGTGCCTCTGAAGTATGAATGAAACTAATCCAATCCTGATTGGTGTTGCGTCATGACGTAACATGTGACGGCACATAAAAGTGACGCCGGCACACACACACATTAGCCTCGCGATGAAGCAAGCCGCTCCTAGGCACTGAGGGGCGTGGCAAAACGATGCAGTGTCTCGTTCCCTTCTCAGGGAACAAGGGTTATAGTCATAACCCGAGACGTTCCCTTTCGAGAGAACTCGCACTGCGTCGTTGAAAACGACTCTTTGGGGAACGAATGCCCACTAGGCCACGCACCGAAAAAGGCCTGACCTAGAGTGAAACTGATCTTAGGCACTCAGCTAGGACGAGAGCACACGTGCGTCCAGGCGTACTAGGGAGGTGCAGACTATAAAACCTGATAAAAGTGTGCGGGTTAGCCCAACCGGCTGCCTCACAGATCTCCTGGAGGGGCACTCCCGAGAGGAGGGCCCTAGAGGACGCCATGCCTCTAGTAGAAAGAGCCCTTACGGCCAAAGGTGAAGACAAATTGCGCACCTTGTAGGCCTACTTATGGGTTGTATAGCCGGGAGCCCCTAATAGGTGACCCAAAACACACAACAGTAGGTCCGACCTCCTCCAAGAAGAGGACCTCTCAAGGTAAATACTCGGAACTCTAACTGGCAGAGCAAGGAACCTCTCCTTTTCTGCCGACACATGAGGTGGAGGATGAAATACTTGCAGGACCATGGACCTAGCCCTGTTAAATTGCACATAGCTGGGTCTCGGATGCAGGATGGCCTTAACTCCGCCGGGGGCACACCCCAAGCAAGCTGGCGATAATGCCAGGGCTTGGAGATCTCCCAGTCTCTTTAAAGAAATAGCTAAGAGAAAGGCCATCTTGAACGTGAGGTCCTAGGCGAAGCCGACTGGAGGTATTCGAAGGGAGCCAGGGATAGCCCTTCGAGAACCAGGAAGGAACCCTGGACCTGACTGTCGGTCTCATCTTCCAAATACCATGGAGAAATAGTATGACCAGTTGGTGTCTCCCCAAAGGCCCAACATTTAGTGGTGCATGGAACGCCACAATGGCAGCCACGTACACCCTACGTGTGGATGGGGAGAGATTCACAGAGAAACGATCTTGAAGAAACTCCAGAACTGAAGCCATTGGGCAGTTAACTGGGCCTAACTCAAGTTCTCTACACCAAGTGGAAAAACATTCCACTTGAGGCCATATACTCTCCTAGTAGACGGAGCCCTAGAGATAAGTATGGTTTCGACCACCCCAGATGATAGACCAGCATCTAGGTACTGAGCCCCCTCAGAGGCCAGACCCACAATTTCCATAGCTCCCGACGAGGATGGAATATAGTGCCCTCCGCCTGAGACAACAGATCCCTCCTCAGAGGAATCTGCCATGGCGGAGCTATCAGGAGTGTAATTAAGTCCGAAAACCAGGCCGGCCAAAACGGGGCTACCAGAAGAAGACTGATGCCCTCCTGACGGATCCTCTCCAGGACTCCCGGGAGCAGAGCAATCGGGGGAAACGCGTACAGGCGAAGCCTCGGCCAGGCCTGTACCATGGCATCCAACCCCAGCAGGGCTGGATGAGTGAGGGAGAACCAAAGTGGACAATGGGACGTCCCTCGAGACGCGAACAAATCCACTTCCATTGGTCTATACCTCTGCCATATCAACTCCACCACCTCTGGATGGAGTCTCCATTCCCCGGGCCTCAGCCCCTGCCTCGACAGGATATAACGCTCTTATAGATAATATTTTCCCTTAGGACCATAAAATAATCTGATACGCCAATCTGGATAGAGGGCACGATCTGAGTCCCCCTTGTCGGTTCAGATAAGCTACCACTGATGTATTGTCCGAACGTATCAAGACGTGGTAACCCTTGATGTCTGGGAGGAAGCTCCTCAGAGCCCTGAACACAGCCAACATCTCTAGGCAATTTATATGCCAAGAATGATGATGGTCCTGCCACAGACCCCTGGCAAAGCGGCCGTCCATGACCGCGCCCCAGCCAGTAAGGGAAGCGTCTGTCGAAACGGTTTCCGGCGTCACGACGCCCCTAACACTGGCCCTTGGGACAAGAACCAAGGTTTCTTCCATATTAATAGGAAACGAAGGCATCTGCGCGTAACCTTTATTATACGGAACGGATTCCCCTTGGGGGAAAACCCCTTGGCTTTGAGCCACCACTGAAGGGGCCTCATGTGAAGAAGGCCCAAAGGAATTATGTTGGATGCCACTGCCATGAGGCCCAGCAGTCTTTGAAATTGCTTAACAGTGATGGCCTGGCCTAGCTTTATCCCTGACACCATGGCCAAGATGGATTCAATACGTGCGGGAGACATACGTGCCCGCATCGTAACCGAATTCCATACCACGCCCAGAAGAGTAGTATTCTGAGCTGGGTCCAACACATTTTTCTTAGTGTTGAGTCTCAACCCCCGGTTCTAAATGTGTCCAAGGACGACATCTCGATGCCGAACTGCCATTCCTCAAGACTGGGCCAATATAAGCCAGTCGTAGATGTAATTCAGTATACGGATGCCCTGAAGCCTCAGTGGAGCCAGAGCCGCATCCATACACATAGTGAACGTGTGGGGAGAGAGTGCTAGGCCGAACGTAATAACCTGATATTGGTATGCTTCGCCCCCGAAAGCGAACCTCAGGAACCTCCTGTGACATGGAAGGATGGAGACATGAAAATAAGCATCTTTTAGATCTATCGTGACAAACCAGTCCTCGGATCTGATTTGGTTCACGATAATTGGAATAGTAGGCCTTTTGAACCTGAATCTCCTCAAAGAACGATTCAAAAGCCTTAGATCTAAAATCGGCCTCAGTCCGCCATCCTTCTTTGGAACTATAAAGTACCGGCTGTAAAACCCGGACTCCCTGTCTGGTAGGGGAACACTTTCTATGGCCCCTTAATTTCAGTAGAGTCTGTACCTCTTGTTCCATAACCCGAGCCTGTTCTAGAACCACTTCAGTCGGTACCACCCCAGCAAACTTGGGAGGTCGGTGACCGAACTGCAATCTGTACCCATATTTTATAATATTCAGGACCCATATAGATACATTCGGAAGGCGTTGCCATTCTTCTACAAAATCTACTAAGGGAACCAGCCCCTCAGAGGTCCTACCTCTTTCCCGAAGTCCTCTTCACCTGAAGGACGGCCCTCAGGTCACCCTTCTGCCTGGAGGACTTCGGTTGAGAGCGCTTCCTCTGTTGCCAGGCTCCCACAGGAGGGGCTCTAGAGGCAACGCTCTCTTTTTGCTCTTGCCGATGGGAGGAGCTGGTTGACGGCTGATAGCACGTGCCGTCTCCTTAGTGGCCCGGAGAGACAAATCTGTGGCTCTTCTCAACTCCGCAAAGTCAGCAGGAGTTGGTCCCTCGCCCTCATTTAGATCTTTAAGAAGATCGGCCTGGTACGCCTGCAAAATCGTCATAGAGTGCAGGCATGCACCAGCCTGACCAGCCACCATATAAGCCCAGCCAACCAGTGCAGAGGTGTCCCTGCACGGTTTGTTGGGCAGCACCGGGGCTTTAAGCGAAGATGCCGCATCAAGAGAAAGATAGCTCGCTAAAGCTTCCTCCATCTGCGGCATCTTGCCATAACCCGCCTCTCTCGCACCCACCACATTCAAATAATCATATAATGAATGTGATGAGATACGTAAAGAGTGGGATTTTTCCCAGGATCTAGCTCTTTATGAAGATCTGGGAAAAAACGGAAAGCCCCGGTGCTGAGGTTGTGAACGGTGCTGCAGGAATCTCTTGTCTAGCTTGCTTTGACGGGGATCATCCTGCTTATTTTGTGGCCAGCTGATATACATATATATATATATATATATATATATATATATTATTTATTTATTTAATAATAATAAGTCTGGCCACATGAGCAGAAACATGAGCCGGCGAGTGTGACTCATGTTGCTCGTTCCCGATGCTGAGCACATCTACTTCCTTAAAAACAGATAGCTCGAGCACCGGGCACTCGTCACGGGCAGAAGAAGCCGCATCGTGGGCTTCTGCGTCGTGAACGAGTGTCATAGAATCTGCGGATGATGAACGAAAAAGTGCCTCAGCAGTCTCGTTCTCATCCGCGAGATCCTTCTGCGATACCCATGATCTAAGCCGCCGCGCCGCCTCAACGGACGCGGGACCCGAATCGCGGGGATCGCGAGCCTGGCCATCATCAGAAAATAATATAGCCAAGCGGGAGCGCAGCACTCTAATAGGAAGTGCTTCACAGTGTTCACAGGCACCCCTCTCGAGAGCTGCCTGTGCGTGCTGCGCCCCTAAACAATACACACACAACTGATGCGTGTCCCCACCCGTGAGATATCTAGGGCAGGGGTGCACACACGTAGTGTATTGTTCACTCGCCATAATATAGAGCTTTGCACAGACAAAACAACACCAAATAAGACAGACAGTTTCACAGAGAGCGCTTGCTGAAGAGCGAAAGCT